CCACAAGTCACTGTTGACCCTTGGTGGCATCGTTGTGTTTTCTTCGACCAATAGCCGAGGTGGAAGAGCAGCTAAATGTTTGACATTAGTGGACTTTTGCGATTAATTTTAGTGCATAAACATTCTGCTAGGTGTCGTAGTAAACTGGAGTCAAGTGAAGTCAGAGTTCATCAGCTAAGCCGACCTAACCGCTGTTTGGTTGAAGTCAATCAATGAGGCGAATCTTAACAAGTATTCGCTCCTGTCGAGCTCAGTTGCAAACGTCTCCCAGTATGCCGTTGGAACCGATGTGGGCCCAATCCCACTCTGTAAAAGACACATTCTCGAATTGAATACTTACCGTTGTACGAGCCAGGTATTTTTAAATGTTTACTGAAATATATTGAGTTGTAGAAAGTTTCATGTGGATGTAAAGCCGGTTTCAATCGTTCAGCAAACTCCAAAGCCTCTGGTGCAGTTCTAAGAAATTCGATGAACTTCCGGTTAGCAACAATATGCTGCGAGCCTTTCATAACCGTAAATCCAGTGATATTACCTACTTTCGACATTCGGTTCTTCCACATTTGCGGTCTAAAACGAAAAAAAAAAAATCTCTGAATGATTGAAAAAGATATTTCAAAACATCATGTATTCTGATCATTACTATTACTATTAAAGTTTAATTGGAAATGAGATCCTGGACCAATCAGATGGCTGAAACATGATGATCTTAAGATCCACGACTGGCAGTTTAGTTCAGTTAAATCAATAAATAGTCAGTCGTAGGTGATACGAAGTTGACTAACGGAAGCACTACCAGTGGAATCATAATTTGTCTTACATTGAGAGGGATTAGAGCCCAGATGAAAACAATCAAATCACTATAGACGGAGTTATTGCACTGCCACACTACAGAAGTTTTACAGACTAACGCTTGAGGGAACTATTGACGTATAAAGAATCGTTATAGACTGAGCTATTCCACTGCCACGGAAAGTCGAGTCTAGGTGAGAGGGAAGTTTTGACATTTAAAAATCCGAGACAAGGCAGTAAGTTGGAGATGGTTGAAAGTCTAGTAAATGGTTATAATACCTGAAAGGACCACCTGTAATTGAGCTAGCACCGTTAAATGCTTTCAATATAGTAACCATTTCTAAATTGGTCTTCAACGGAAACTCAGAACCAGCTAGATTTATGTAGTATTTCCAGTCGAATTTCAATGCATCGTCCATACAATTTAAATCTGCTTGAAACACAGAATATTGTCCCCATGTTACCTTCACTACACGGGAAGTTACATGTACATTATCAAAACACTTCGTTATATCAGACACAGCTTTCAGTAGAAATTTGGGAGCTTTGG